AACGTGGTTCAAACTTATCTGACTAAAAGCAGCATAGTTCCTGGCCTCTACAGCCGTATTACACCGGCAGTTGGATACTCTAGAAGTAGCATAAAAACCAATTAATGATTCAGTTATATATATATTTATACATTCACTTGGATGGATACACCCATGGCAGTATGGCGCAAGAACAATTGGCTTCTCACCTGCCATACAATCATGCCCACCACCACCTTCAAAAAACACAAAAACAAAATAAAAAGAGTGGCAAGATCGTTTCTACATGTGCAAGGGTGCAATGTAATATCCCATACGAGCAACTTCCTGGGGATTGGATGTCTCAAACTGGTTCAACAGTACTGGACTCACCTCCGTATGGTAAATGGCCATGACAGCCATTAACGGCAATCTAGAAACTTGAGATAGTTTTAACACAATTAATGCATCAGTTATATATATATATATATATATATATATATATATATATATATGAAAGGCCAATGGTGTAGGAAATTCCTTATGCTCGTGATATGCAACTGCTGAAAAGTGGCCTTGCTCGGTGAAGGACTTCACACGATCGAACCACTTCTTCCCATGTGGCATTGCAAACCATTGAAGATTCATTTCGGCCAACAGTGCGATGCCCACTTTCTCTTTTGTCCAACATTGGAACAGCGCTTTCTGCTTTTCCTAATTCATGGGGAAGGGGATGCCATGAACATTCTGAAAGAGTATCCGAGCAGATTGGGGAGATTTCTGACCTTAGTCGTCACCAAAGAAGTTCCCGGGAGAAAGAGAATTTAAGTATGCAACCAGCAAGGAGTGGGCCGCCTGGCTGGATGGTTGGTTGCGTAAGTTTCGAATCCGACCTTCCGTCTGACGCCGCAACCGTGCCTGACGGGACCGTTGGTGGTTAGGGACCACGGTGATGGGGCCACCCCCACTATCGGCTGAGTTGGTCTTGCTGGAAGAAGGGCTTGCCCCCCGCAATTTTCCCTTAACCAGCTGCTGGTGTGCCATCATGGCCTCAAGTTCCTGAATCCGAGCTTCCTCTGCGGCCGACTTAGCTTTGGTGGACTTGAGCGCTGATGTGGCAGTTTCCAGTTCCCCACAGAGATCCGAAACGTCGGCCTTCATTGCTTCAAGTTGTACGGCGAGCTTGGCAGCACTTGCGACGGTAGCCCCATCATCCATATCCCTTGCAGCTAGCATGGAAAGGTTGATAACAAGAGTGCCTTTGAACGTCTCGGGAGACTGCTCAGCCTAAAAAAGGCGTTCGATCCACCCATTGTTGTCCTTCTCAACTTGTTCATGTAACTCCACATTCCGGTCATATTCCGACTGAGCCTTGTGTGTTGCCTGGTCCCATGTCATGGCATCCGAAACTGTGCGGTTATAATGGTCCAGACACAGCCAGGTGCGTTTCCTTTGGTGCGCCAAATCCTTCCAGAGTTCCAGATACGAGATCAAAAAGGCTGCCAGGTTTTTTAGGACTTCTTTGGCCAAGGATTCGAACTTCTTGCGGACGCCAAAGACGTAGAATCCATGAATGGGGCCGGGAAGGATCATTTGGAGAGGCCCGCTGGGCCAGAGTTGAGCTCAGCATCCATTGCTGCCAGCCAGGCGTCGCGATCAAAGTCCTGTGAGGGTGGAGTTTTGGAAGCAGTTAACTTTGCACTTGCGGATGATGCACTCGAGTTGGGCTTGGATTGACCAGGTGTACTGGATAGTGACAGTGGATTAGTGACCGACGGTTGCGCTGTCGTAGGAGGAGAAGGGAGGGACTAAAGTTGATTCCAATGAGCACGATGCGTGGAGAGTGGCTTCCAATTGCTTGGGTCCAACGGCTGTTTGCTGGGCTTGCGGGGAAATCGCTTAGAATGTGATGCCGCCGCAGTAGCTGAGTTCGCAGACATCAGCCGTGGGGGCGATCCTGTTGAAGTTGTCGGTGGGGCTTTCTTCTGCACAGCTGGGATGCACTGGATGGCATACCGAAAGGGCAAGAGGGACTTAGTCTTACCTGGCTTGCAATATTTTGGGATGAACACTTTCGTCAACATGCCTTGAAGTGGGAACTGAGGGGACAGGATAGAACAGGTCTGTGCCAACATATCGTGAGTGTTGATCAGTTTGGCGATGACCGGACTGAACGTCCCAGGATCCGCCAGGTGGCCCAACCGGTTCTTGGAGACTGCCTCCCAAGCGAAGACGAACTGGGTACAAGCCCCAAATGGCATATGACACTTTTCTTTTCTTTTCTTTTTTTTTCTTTTTCTTTTTTTCTCCACTTCATGCGCCGGATGTGGCCCTATTTTCACTTCCTCCTTTCTGTTTGGAAGTGGCCGCACACGTTTTCCATGGCTTGGTCTTTCACCTTTTTGCACCTTTGCTCGGTATGTTTATTTCCAAGTTTACTTCATTTCATTTGAGTCCACTATCGACTCTTTCTACTCGAGCATGCTTCCCAGGAACACCCGGCAGAACGATGATTTTTGTCATTGTTCGGAGAGCGGACAGACCTTCTCCAGTCATTTTCGAAATCCATGTGATCACGTGGGATAAGAAGATTAACTCATACTTAAGAGCAAAAG